CCTGTTCTTTCCCACTCTCCATACCCACGCAATTCTCCACAACAACTGATTTTTTTCTGCTACACCCGGCTACGCTGCTTCGCTTCTTCTTCTTTACTACTGGTGGTTGGCTTTGGTCGCAGTACCGCCACTTTCTGCTCTGGAGTGTAAACGCTTTGCCAATGAGAGAAAGGAGCAGCGCATGAACCGAACGAAACACACGCGAATCGAACCGAGACAGTCGAACTGAACGGTTCGGACGGTTTTCAAAAACCTATTCTTTTGTCATCACAAAGTGCATCTGTACTTAAGGTACCTTATTTTTATGGGAGTCTGATTTTGTGCAACAAATGCAGTAAAGCAGAGAAGTCTTGTCTAGGAAGTGTCATTTTTCACAGTTAGCAGGTTGAACAAAGTTTTAGGAAATTTCCTTTTTTTTAGGAGACATTTCCTTTCTCCACTTGTTCAACAGAAGTCCTGCTGAGGAGCAGCATAGACTGTAATCTTCTAAATCAGACCCATCCTTATTCTGAATTAGTAAAGTTAATGTGTCCTTAGCATGGTTCTGTTCCAGTGGTTTAGCAGACATCATAAAACTACAAAACTTATCTGTGTATATCAAAAACTTTCTTTAAACGTGTTGGAACAGCTCAAAAATTTGAATACAATGAATTTCCAACAATCAAAACATTTAGCTTCCCTTTCATTGTTTTGACCTTTTTCAACTAGAATAATGTTTCTCGGAGGAATCTGTTTACCCAGAGTCGGAGGTTTTTACAGGTTCTGCTTTTTTTTTGCTTTGTCTTTCTGCAGTTGCAGAAAAACTGCCTGCTGTCTCTGTGCAGCGATCGCATTTTACAGGAGGTACCATTCAACAGGTCAGAAAACCTGCATCTACTTCATGGGTGATGCACGTCCTACCATGTAGCATCCTCAGCTAAAAGGCCTGGATTGTGATTGTTCATGCATTTCTCCTCCCAAGGTTTGAAGCAGCCAAACTGGTGATGCAGTGGCTCTGCAACCATGAAGATCAAAACATGCAGAGGATGGCGGTGGCTATCATCTCCATACTGGCTGCTAAGGTACACACGCTGTTTGGCTAACTCTCTGCTCTTAATTCCTGGATCTTTTTAACGATTGTTTGCTCTTTTTCTTTTTTTTTAGTTGTCCACAGAACAGACGGCCCAGCTGGGAGCAGAGCTGTTCATCGTCAAGGTATCGTTCCCCTCACAGCTGATCACTAATTCACCATGAATTATTGGCACTTTTGCACAAAATGCTTACAATACTCTCTTCCTGCTTTGCAGCAACTGCTGCACATTGTGCGTCAGAAGGCAAACCAGAACGTGGTGGATGCAACCCTGAAGTTTACGCTGAGCGCTCTCTGGAACCTAACCGATGAATCGCCTACAACGTGTCGCCATTTTATCGAGAACCAAGGCTTGGATCTGTTCATTAAAGTGCTGGAGGTACACAGAAATAAAGCTGCCTGTACAGCCACCTCTATGGGAGTTAATCCTGTGTAAATCTTTGCATAAAATATGTGGATATCAGTGTGTGGTAATGTGTCCCCTCACCATCTCTGCAGTCTTTCCCAAATGAATCCTCCATCCAGCAGAAGGTTCTTGGTCTCTTGGTGAGTTTACACGCCTTTTATTGCTCATCTGAGTAACTCTGTGCGCCTTTCTCTAAATTACGACCTCAACGTTCCTACTTGGCCCTCTGCTGTGCAGAACAACATAGCCGAGGTCAGGGAGCTGCATGCGGAGCTGATGGTGCAGAGCTTCCTGGACCACATCAGCGCTCTGCTGCACAGCCCCGAGGTAGAGGTCAGCTACTTCGCCGCAGGGATCCTCGCACACCTGACATCACGAGGAGAGGAGGCCTGGGTGCTGAGCCCGGGTCTGCGGTGCACGCTGCTCGAGCAGCTGGTAGGAGTAAAGCAGAACTACTTTCAAGTTTAAATCCGGATCACATGAAGCACTGTGGTGATTTATCTGTGCGTGCCTCTCTAGCATGCTGTCATTATGAAGTGGCCCACGCCCGAGTGTGAAATGGTGGCCTACAGGTGAGAGACACATCCCACATGGCGATTGTTTTATAAATGTATCAAGATTTTTTTTTTTTATGTTTAAAGTAAAAAGCATACGCCGGACAAATTGGTTATTTAAAGACCTTACAACATTTCATAATGGAAACTAAATCTCCTCTTCTCTGGTTTTTCAGGTCCTTTAACCCGTTTTTCCCCCTGCTGGAGTGTTTCCACACACCGGGAGTCCAGCTGTGGGCAGCCTGGGCCATGCAACATGTGTGCAGCAAAAACGGTGAGACTTTGCAGAAGTGTTTATTGTGTGTATTTATCCAATTTACTGTTACTTTACAACAAATATCAATGGATTTAAAAATGTTACCATCTAAATACTCCTTAATGACATCAAACGCAACCAATTGAAGATCTAAGGTTTACTAGGGAACGAACAGCTTTATCAAACCAAGGAAAACGGCAGACGGCTCAGGAGGATGGGATGTTTTCAGCAGGGTTGGGCTGTAGAACAATATTTCCAGATTTGACCATTTCAGGGAGCTCTGCTCAAACAGTCCTCTGACAATGGAAAGATTTGAGCACAATTACTGACCTGCCAAGTAACGCTCATCTGCATGAAGGCCTGAACACACCAAATCAGATTTTGGATCTGATCCAACAGAAAATCATGTCAGACGAGGTCGTGGCGTTTAGCGCTCGCTGAAAGTCAGTGGGGATGATCACACCCGACACGATTTTATAGAAGGGGGCTGCATAGGACCAACTGAGATAGAGCCCAGGTCTATTTTAGTCGGACTACGCAGCAATTCAGCCACAATTTCATGGTTCTGACAGGAAGAGAGGCACGATTACAAAGTAAAACACATCCTTTTTGAGGGAAAATACAAATAAAATCTGTTAATCTCACGGGGAAAGAATCAGTTTTGGAGTTGGATATCATGTTTATAGTAAGCAGGACAGACTGGTGCAAAAACAGTGAATGAAACATAAAAAAATACATGGTAGGAGTTCAGGAGGACAGAACAGACAAACAGATAAAGTTGTGATCCTCTTTGAGCCTCACAGAAAAACAAAAGGAGGGGCAGACAGAGCAGGTAACCGCAGCGTTTCTCTCTCGCCTCTTTATGAGAAGAAGAAAGAAAAACTTGGATAAACTCTCTCTGAGAATCACCTCTCAGTCGCTATAGAAACCGCCCCACAGCGTTTATTGTTAGGTTTTTCTTTTCTTTAGACCTATCAGCGTTATTTATATTTTATAACTTTTCATAATCGTCTCAAGGCAGATATAGGAAATTGTTTTAATTTGTGTAAAGCACAGAGACAGAAGTGGGAGAAAAAAAAAATCTATGCAGATCTGCCCACCCTGCCTAGTCGGAGTCTCTCTATACGCAGTCAGCGGGACAAATGGAAAGAAATCGGATCAGAGAATTAAAGTCTTAACAAACCGCTGTGTTTAGGCCTTAAAGCTGGAGAAACGGAGCATTGTTCACAAAAGCAGTTGCAACTGCAGATAGTAACTATCAGGGGTGTGAGGAAAAAAAATAATTTTGTCGATATATCTTGATTTTCGGCTGCCCGATATAATATACATTTTTCATTTCCTAGCATCGATTTTAAAAAACAAAGCATTTTTACCTTAAACAATGAGGTAAATAGGTTACCTCTGCAGCCCTTTAGCTCTGCAGCGCAGCATCGTACCTGTAGTTGGGACAGTCACAGTGGAAGACAAGGACTGACTCAAACCCCAAACAACATGGATACCAAAATAAATAAATGATCAAAATATTCCAATGAACATTTACAGCACTTGCTTTTTATCTGTACATTTAATTTTGATAGCTGCGAAAAATAACGCTATTGTATCATGACCCAAGTATCGTGACGCGTAGGGCTGGGTATCCTGAATCAATTCAATTTTGATTCATACATTTATAAATCGATTAATTTCGATTCCATCCGTTTTTAAAATAATGAAAGTGGTTCAACTGTGTTTCAAAATGCTTATGTATTTTATTTTTTTTCCTGTCCATTTAAACACAAAGTGCAAACTTGTAAATCAGGCAGTTTAAGCTTGAGATGTGAACAAAACTGTCTCATAAGTGCAAACTTGTTTGTGAAAAGTGAAAAAGTGAAGCCTCACTCGAGCGAGCAGACGTGACACAGCGGGACAAAGCAGACATGCATGAGCTGCATTATCTTCACTGAACAAACCATATTTGCAGCTTTGTCTGTAACTACAGCGTGTTTTCTGGTCAGCCCCCATTTGTTATGGCTTCAGCCAACCTATTGGCTATATTTGCAGCTGTCTGGCTTGAAGTCATCTTGAGTGCATCTTTCCGGCTCATTTGAATTTGAACATCAAAACTAATCGATCTCATTCCCTAGACATCAATTTTGCAGAAATGTAAAGGAATCGATTCAAAATCGATTTTTTTTTTTACCCAGCTCTAGTGACGCGTGTCGTATCACAACACCCATCCCAATACTCACTCCTAGTAACTATGGAGGAGCTGCAGACAGTCTTGGCTCATGTGAGGAGGGCTGACGGGGACAAAAAGCTAAGCTGATAAACGTAGAACAAAATAAGAATGGTTTTAAATCTGAACTTGCTTAATAGCAGGAAGAGAAACACTTTACCCACACTGAAGCACGGCGCTGGCAGTATCATGTTTGAAGCTCTCTTTATCAGTACAGGGAAGCAAATCGGGGTTAATGGGAGGATAAATGCAGCTAAATCCAGGATAATCCTGAATAAAAATTAAACATGTGGTAGAAGTTCTAGACTGATTCAGATCAAAGCACACTGTCGGGTATTTTTGAAAAAATTCTGCATAGATTGGAGCTTTTGTGGCTGAAGCGTGTTCCAGGATCCAAAAGAAATAAAATCTTCCACCGAATTCACGTTTTTTTAAATTTTTATTTTAAAACAATAAAGACAAGTTAAACAAATACAAACGAAAATATGCCTCCTTAACTTTCATAAATCTAAATCTTAGAATCCACAGACCACCGCAGTGCCAACGGGGTCAATCTAAGAATGGCTACTGTACCGGGCACGTCACGCAGAATCATTAAAAGCCACTAAGTAACGTCCTTTAATTATTCTAATTCCTCATTTTATCCTTGTACATGTTTTAACATGTACAAGGTGCTAACGTCTCTGTTAAACACTTTAAAAAACTCTGAAAATGGAATACGAAAGGTGGATTCTTGATTCTTGACGTCGGAGTACACAGAGTGAAGCGAAAAGACTACAACTGTGTAAACAGGCCCCATTTCCGTTTCCGGTGGCAGCGGAATATTGACTATTCCAACAGAACTCAATGGGATTTACAAAATGCTAAATAAAACACTACAGGAACGTTTTTTCTTCACGAAACTTTTTTTGGAACGTCATTGAACGGCGCTGACGACCCGGTGAGTAGCATATTTTAAAAAAAGAACGTTTAAGGTTGTTTTAAGGACATTATCGGACATGCTCTATGCAAGCCATTCTGGAGCAGCCAGGGGGGGATTCTAAATGAGCCAAAAAGCAGAGACAGGAGCAATTGTCAAACTTTTGGTGTCGATCATTCGATTTCATCCTGGACACTACAGAAAATGGGCTTAAAGTGTAAAAAACCGAACTTCTCCTTTAATATAACTCATGAATCTAAATTAAATATCAAATATTTTATCAATACGAAATAAAAACATGAAATATGAATATCAACTATATATATAATTTGGGGCAAATTCAAAACTAAGCATAAAATAAGCATCTGGCGCCTAAACATGTTAATGTGCTAAAATCCAACCAGGAGTTATTAATTTTTAAAGTTGGTGTTCTTTACCCACTGACTGTTAAATGACTTTACTTTGTGTCAGTTAGTAGATTGAGGAAAAACCTCCAGCTGCTCACCTCTTGGTCTTTGTGTTGCTGCAGCTTCTCGTTATTGCAGCATGCTGCTGGAGGAGGGGGGCCTGGACCAGCTGGAGCTCGTTCACACGCACCCTCAGACCCACAGGGACGTCAAACTGCTGGCCGAGAGCATCCTGGACAGCCTGCAGCGCCACAGAGCCCGCACAGGCCAGCCTGCACACACAGGGCGACGTCTGGCCCCCCAGTGACATCACTAAGGTGAAGGAGAACCCTGCGCTGTTGTTCTTCCTCTTTAAGCTCGCACGCAGCTTAGCAGGCGTTTCGTTTCTTCCCTTTCAGGCGACGGTGTTCCCTGATGAGGAAGAGGACGTGAAATGTGTGAGAGTGCATGCGTGGGCGAGCCTGTTGCCCATCTCGCACACAGACCATCTTTATAAAGACATCAGAGACGATGCAAACCTTTGCACACACTAACCTTATTTATTTCCGTTGTGTTCAAACCAGAAACTTTCACTGCGTGCCAGTCTCGTGTTGGAAAACTGAAATTGCTATAAGCTAAGTTTGTATTTGTGCTCTTCCTCCTGACTGTGGGCACTTGGATGTTTCTCAAGCCGGAAAGCGTCAGGATGTGTCAGACTCCAAACACCTGAGCAGGGGGGGCGGGGTTTGCTGCTTCTGATAAATTCTCTATAGTCGGAAATTATGGATAAATCTTTAAATATATGCATGACACTGCTGAGAGCTTTAGCATGCTGGTGTGAATGCTCGTACCATGGATTTTATAAACAAGAGCTCCGATCAGCTGGACGAAGCCTCCAGGTCTGCAGGCCATCTTTTTTTCTTTCTGCTGAAGCCTTTATCACCATGCTACAAGGAAAAATAAAACTTCACCTGGGAACATTCAGAAGATGGAAATGCTCCTGAAGTTACTGATCATTTCCTGTAAAATTCAAAACAACCTTGAAGCTATAAATCATGTGAGAAACATGCAAAGAAGAAAAGCCAGAGGAAGATTTTACGGAAACGTCCTCTTTGGTTTCTGGAGTCTAATGGATATAATGATGTGGTCGATGTGTGTTTGTATTTCTACATTTCTCTCCACCCCTCAATCGCCTGAAAGAGCTCCGGTTTCTACACTGTGTTATCTCTATACAGTGAGAGCAGAATAGTAATCTACCAGGGTGGGGTTCAGGTGATTGCATAGAGAATTAATAAAAAAACAATTTAATATTTTCTCCTGGATATAAATAGAAATGATGTTGAGACGCCTCTGCAGTCCTCAGGGTTCCTACACATTGTCCCTTTATTTTGTAATGCCGTACTTTTCCCACCACTAAATCGTCAAACATATTTTTTATTTTGGTAAGACTCTGCACATTTGGGCTGAAAGTGTTGAACTACAGATGGTTTATCACACAGCTGAGGTTCATCATCATCCGCTCCAATTGAACACCTGCTGTGTTTTAAAATCTACCAAATAAATAATGCCTTGCAAAAGTTTCTGAACTGTTGAAAACCTTTTTAGGAGACAAACATAAGCTTCAGTGTGTTCTGTTTTTAATAGGGATCTTATGCCATACATAAAGTAGCTCATATTTGTGAATGTAAAGATAATTATGCCTGGGTATCAGCCTTTTCTTGCAAATAAAAAGTCTGAAACGTGCGGCATGTATGTGTATCCAGCCTCTATGAGTCCAAACTTTGTTGAGTCGTCTTCAACTGTGATTACTACGGAAGAGGATTAGGGCCACTGGAAAAAAAAAAAGTTAACTGATTTTTTTTATTTTATTTCAGTATAGTATGGGAAAAAAAGTCAGAATTCCGACTTTTTTCTCAGAATTCCGACTTTTTTCTCAGAATTCCGACTTTAATCTCAGAATTCCGACTTTTTTCTCAGAATTCCGACTTTTTTCTCAGAATTCCGACTTTTTTCTCAGAATTCCGACTTTTTTCTCAGAATTCCGACTTTTCTCAGAATTCTGACTTTTTTCTCAGAATTCTGACTTTATTCTCAGAATTCTGACTTTAATCTCAGAATTCTGACTTTTTTTCTCAGAATTCTGACTTTAATCTCAGAATTCTGACTTTTTTCTCAGAATTCTGACTTTAATCTCAGAATTCTGACTTTTTTCTCAGAATTCTGACTTTAATCTCAGAATTCTGACTTTTTTCTCAGAATTCTGACTTTTTTCTCAGAAAATTCTGACTTTTTTTATTGTCAGAATTCAGTCAGAATTCTGAGATTAAAGTCAGAATTCTGACTTTTTTCCCATGTTAAACTGAAATAAAATTTAAAAATCAGTTTACTTTTTTTTTTTTTTCAGTGGCCCTAATCCTCTTCCGTAGATTACAGCAACAAGTGTGTTGGGAGACAAAAACAGATTGATGGAGAGTGATTGTAAAGATTGTTTTCTATATATGAATAATAATTGAACTTTATTGATCTCACATTGGATAAATTCACTCTGCATTTAACTCATTTCCTCTGGGAACAGTGGGCTGCCATTGTGGGGCGCCCGGGGAGCAATCGGGGGTTAAGGATCTTTGCTCATGGACCCAGAGTGAAAATCTGTGGGAGGGGGGCTTAAACTCAGGCCCTATGCCCTAACCACTGGTCGCCACCCCCCTCTATATTGGAAATATTCTCAATCTGAAATTATTTTTTTTAATGTTTCTGTTGTGTCTGCCTGTAGGTTTTGAGTTGATGCAGTTGGAGCATTTTGCATGTGGGTCATTCTTACTTTGTCCACTACATGGATAATGGTAAACTGCTGACTGTAAAGCTTTATTTAAAAAAAAAAAAAAAAGGTTCGATAATAGCGAGCTAGCAGGACTCTGGCTGCTCCTTTGGTTAATGGTCACCTTGTGCAGCGTGTCATTTCAAATGGAGGGCAATGTCCATTTAGGTTTGTGGTTTTACAATGATTGATTTGTTCAAAACATGGTTTTATAACCTAGTAACTGTCCTAAACTTCCACATTTTCCTTTGTTTTCTCTACACCACTGAGGCCACAACAGCTGAATTTATACTGAGATGAGACACAAGGGGGCAGTATTCAGTCATCCGGTGACTTCTTATGAATTTTGTCAACATTGTGATTTTCTAAAGCATTTAAGTTCAGAATGATGAACTACTTTGTGTTTTACCACATAACATAAAATAAGCAGTCATTAAAAAAGATCAAGGGGTATCGATGCTTCTGCGAGGAGCTTTAGTCTTAACATAAATTATCCAATATATAATACAGATACTTTAAAGCATGGCTTGGTGTTTATCACACCCTTATTCTTGCTTAGAAAACATATTTATTTCCCATCTTAATGCCGAATGTGCATTTATAAATATAGTTTATTGATTCTACTGTAATGCTTTCTAGAGTTGAGTTCACGTACATTTTTTATCTGTTCAGATGCTCTAATTAAAAGTAATCTTGGTATTTTTACTAGATTAATAGATTTAATAAAATGAAAAGTAACTTAGACAGTTGGTGCTGATGCTGTGACTTTATGAACATCTGCAGGTCAGGGAGATGAAAAGTTTGCTAACCACCCCAGTAAGAGGAAATGTAAAACCAACATTTAAATATCTTTATCTTTTTTTTTTTACATTCAGACTCTGATTATAAAGTTGAATTTCCAGACTGCGAAGGAACCCTGCATCCAAAGGCTCCCACTTTTCTTATGCAGGTCTTAGTTTCTTACGTTTCCTTTTCAGTGCTAATAAAGTCAACCTGTTTTACAAACTGCGTAGCAGGTGTGGAGTAAAACTGAGCAGAGAGTTGATATGCAAGGAAGAACACGTTTTATTTTACTCTGCAGAGTAAATGGCACAAACCAGCTGAATACAGCTGAGTGCGATTCTGAAGCATTCAGAATCACACCTCTACATTTAAAAAGAATCCAAACCATACACACACATGAACATTGAATCTTCCCAAGAGAAACACTTTAGTTCATCAAAGAACATAAATTTGCTGAGATAAACATTTCAGATAACTGTTTTCTGTTCACACCAGAAACAGGATGGGAGATCGATAAGAGCATAAGTTTTAACCATAGCATGAAGGAGGCTTTATGAAATCCTTATTGAGCTCCTCATGAGCTTCCCTTCACCCTTGTCTAGAGTAGGGAGGGGAGGCACCTGCTTTCTGTCCCCCTAAACAGTACAGCATAGTGAATGGAACAGGATCTCTTTATCATTACTTCTGTTCAAACATTTTATCACACAATATAGGCCAAGGAAAAACCTTGATTCCACACAGGGAACCAACCGGACATCGCTTTACACACATAAATAGAAGGCCACCAAAAAACCGTGCAGTCTGCATAACTACTGAAGACCAACTCACCTGCCCAGTGGATTATGGCCTAATGGTTTAGTTCAGGGGTCACCAACATGGGGCCCGCGGGCACCAAGGGGCCCTCAAAGGGTGCTCTTAGAGTCTTCTGAAAATAGAACAACTCAACAGTGAGCTACGTTTGAAATTTCACTGTATTCTGTTGCTCTTCTTTTTTTAATTGGGTTATAGATCATTTCATCATATATGGCATTTAAGAATTTATAGAGATTTCAAAAATGAAAATGTCTAAAAGAAAATTATAAATTTAAAGAAACGATAAAGATATGTTTATAATGTATGAAGTTTAGGTGAACGTTGACCCTTGCAATTCATAGGTCAGTATTGGTAGCCCTTCCTGTGACTCAGTGCCCCTGAATTAGCCCTCAGCTGTAAAACGGTTGGTGACCGCTGGTTTAGTTGCATTTATAATTTGGTATTTGGTGAGCGCATGTATTATGCACCGACCTGGGACTGGATTAGCAGTTATATGAAATAGTTTGTTTGGTCAAATGCTTTCATGGGGCAGCCGAGACATGATTCAATAAACAATAAAAAATTAAAGTATGTTGGCATAAATAGTTTTTTCTTTTTTTTTGCCCATCATATCTAAATATACTGTCACCTTTAAACTATGACTGTAATATATATATATATCAATGATATCTCCTCAAATCAGAGATCAAGATTGTTTTTGAAAAATACAGAAAAATGTTATTTCTCAAAAAAAAAAAAAAATTGAGCTGTAAGTTTGTTTGTTTTTTGCTAGAGGTAATGTTTTTACACATGTTGAAGCAAACTGAAGGAATTTCAATATTTCTCTATGAACGAGCTTAATACCAGGTTTGAATTATTTTATGCTAAACTCTAATTCAAAGACAAATTACAGGCAGCTGATGTTTTTACAGATGAAAAAGTAATTGATGGATGCATTTTATAAAATTTTACAGTATTTAACCTGCTGATCATCAGGTTAACAGGATAACTCACCATTAGTGATCTCTTGATAGGTGCAGCTTTACTCTCAGACCTTAACATTTAAACAATGATAGATGCTGATAATTTATCTGACAAGAGAAGAGATCTGTGTGCATATACATTTAAAAAGACTTGACGTAACCGTTTTTTCCTTGCTGTCTGAACAATGTAGTGGTCATCAAGTCAGTAACAGATGTGACTGAATGCTTGGAGTCCATCTGGGAGACCAACTTATGTCAACTCTTTCACCGTCTGCTTGATGTTGCTTTCTGCACGATGTTCTTTCACTCAGATAATACCTCACATTTTCTTCCCATGAAGCCAAACCTTATGTCCAGAGGTGTCAAAAATATTATTACTCAAGTATGATTATAAATACTACGGTTTAAAAAAGTATCAACTTTCTACTCAAGTAAAAGTGTAAAAGTACCATTTTTAAAAATACTTAAAGTATAAATGTAATGCAGTAAGTAATGCATGCTTTCTTAGGCTTAACTTTCTTAGCTTTAATGGTAACAGTGTCAAATTGAACTTCATCATGAAAAACTATTTATTTTGCTATTCGGTGAACAACAAGTTGGGGCAGCACCGAGTCCAACCACAAAGAAATTCAGTGATTGGATGAAACAAATTATTATTTTTTTTAATACCAACATTCTATAATGAAAATGAGCTTTAATGAAACAAAACCAATGAGTCTATTTTAAAAATGTACAGAGTAGAAAGTAGAGATAATTGAAAAAAAATATATATATAATGAGTAGAAGTAAAACATTTTCTAAAACAAATAATCCAGGAAAGTATAGATAGCATAGAAATTTCTACTTTAGTAAGGTAACACAGTATTTGTACTGTGGTTAGATCTATTTTAAACCATAACATAGAAAGGTAACCTATCAGAAGCACTCTTTTCCATTTTTAAAAAGTACATAGATATTAATATTTGTAAATTCTTAATGTATTTATTCTTGCACTTTTCTAAAATTTGGGATATTGACTCATTTAGTGCTCCACATGGACCAAACTTCTAACATTAATTCTTATTTGACATCCGATGGTAACTATAGATTATGAACATTTGATCCTCATTCATGCGGCTGTCCTTTGGGCAGGTTTTATTCCCCGATGTACCGCGGGGGTCTCTTCTCGATAAAGGCAGCCATGCCCTCCTTTCGGTCCCGTGTGGGGATGACCTGGGAAAGGACAGATCAATGATTTGCTCAGATTACAGGCATCGGTGTTTGCAGACAAGCTTTACCCAGCTGGTGTATAACCTGGAGTTTTAAGGAAAACAAAACAACGGAACTGTCCACAGATTTACTTTCAACTTCCTGATTGATTAAGATCCAGAGGTATTATAAGGAGACTTACCCTGGCGTAACACATTCTCTCTATGGCCATTGCTGACCCGATGTCAACCTGGAAGAAACATTCCTGTCACCCTTTGTTTTGATGTAAAGATCTGTCAAATTCTGATGAATCCCTAAGGTACCTCGACGCCTCGATTTATGGCCTCTTTGGCCAAACGCACGGCAACAGGAGCCTGCAACCACAAAATGAATGCTGTTAGATTTATAGCTTTATTTACATCACAGATTTATTTCCCTCAAACCTTTTCATTTGAAACGTGAGGTTTAAAATGCAATATCCCTCAAAAAAGCACACACAATACATTAGGCTGATTTCATGATCCAGCAAAGAACAAAATTAAAGAATTAGCAAAAAAATAAGGACACATAAATCATTGTAAAGTCTTCTTGGGCTTTTATAGCAGCTCTTATTAAAGACCTAGACTTAGACATTTTATTTGTCAGTTTGTTTACACAAGTGTAAAACAAAAAGAAATTTCGTTTGGAACAATTTAATCTTTTTTTAAAGTGCAGCCTTGAAAAATAGTTAAAAAAAAGGCTAAATTTACAGCTCTAACATTTTTTTAACATCTATTTACTTCGATAAGTCTTTATATCCTCGGCTTCCTTCGTCAGATCACAGATCAAAATAGCAGAATGAAGCTTTGCAGCTTTCCTTTTAGATTTAAAAGGGATTAAAAATATATTTAACTTTTTTGCTTTTAATTTAGTCATTTAATTGAGTCACTTTCTTAATGAAAGACAATGAGGATTAGAGCCGCAACTACCAATTGATTTGCAAATCGATTAATCTGTGGATAGTTTTTTTAGTTTAATTGATTAAAAATCAGATAGCCAAAGGTTCCTAAAAGAAGATGATAAATGAAACCAGGTGAAACTAAATCTTTCCACTTGAGGAGTTCTGGGTAGAGCATAGTGACAGATGAAAACATTTCATTTTTTATCTTAAATGCACAATGTTTACAATTTTGATATAATTCCTGCTCTAAGTGCGTTGCTCTGTCACCTAAATGCATGTTTTACAATCTCTATACTCCAGTTAATGATTATTCCATTCATAAATTAGTTGAAAGTCATTTAAATAATCAATCAATCATGATTAATCAGATTGTTTCAGCCCTCATCAGGACCCATTTTCAGTTTTCAGTCAGTTTGCCAGATTTTTATCTAAAATATAAAGGTAAAAAGGCCCACAGCATTACAAGTCCTCTACCTTACTCATCAAACGATTACTACAGATGTTAAAAATTGATTTTAGGATTCCTTACTTTACCAGAATAAATGTAAAGATCCAAACCATTAGCGACATTAGCTTTTAGTTATTTTGTTTGTTTTTCCCCACAAATCATTAAACATTGGAGTACAGAAACTGGCTTTTGAATTATCAGTTTAGTAGATTGTTTTTTTTTTGTGCTTTTTGCCTCTGAGCAAACTTAACTAAATAAGTTCTGTGTCATTCTTTGGAAAAATTAGATAGAATACAGATCCCTGAAAGGGATCTGCTTCTCTGCAGATGATGCGTTTGTTTTCGTTAGAGTTCTTGCATAAAGTTAAGGCAGAAATCATCTTCACGGACGTGAAGGCGGACTTAAAAATTCAATTTAGTGTATTTCTATAGCGCCGATTCACAGCACATGTCATCTCAATGCTCTTTACAGTTCACCAGATCATCCAGTTTAATTGATTCAAAGTTTGTTGATTGCATCAACTCACTGACTTTTCAGC